TGTATACTACATATTAAAAAATTTATTAAAAATCCTTTGTAAAAGGTATATATTAAGAACCCAAACGGGCTAAGTTAAACAGACAAAACGTTTTCGGAATCCATATTCCATCATCAGTGTCTAAAAGTACATGAATGTAGCCACTAAATGTATATTATATTAGTATATATATATATATTAGTATATAAATATATTAGTGGCTACATTCATGTACTCTTAGACACTGATGATGGAATATGGATTCCGAAAACGTTTTGTCTGTTTAACTTATCCCGTTTGGGTTCTTAATATATACCTTTTACAAAGGATTTTTAATAAATTAAAAAATATATATTAATATACTTAACAATAACAATATTACTTAAAAACATGGGTCTCAAAGTGCATGTTTCTGAGCTAAATGGTTTTAATTAATGAAAATACATATAATACAATTTATTCATAAATCAGCCATTTTACTGGATATCTGCATAACGACTATGGAATAGAGCATCTTTCATTATTTTATTCATTAATTCACAATGTACACATTTAATAAAAAAAAGACTACAGAAACCCTAAGAAAAAAGGTACCAACTTCTATGATTTTCCTAATTTCTTTCTTTGGCTAACCATTTTTAAAATATTTGAATATTATCCAATTTTTCACCAATTTGAAAGAATTTGTTTTAAAAAATGTTTAAATACTTAGCTAATAGTTAGGCTCCCAAGAGTTAATCAATTTAAGAACAGACTTTGGTAAACATGGTGTGAAAAAAAACAGCTTCTAGAACAAATCTTCAACAAATAAATAATATTCCTAATTATATGAATAGATTTTTAGATTTTGCTCTGACTAATATAGATGTTTGTACTGTGGCAATGTCTGACACCTATTAGTGGCTGAAGATTTGTATCACCCCACTCTCATCTTCAGTATCAGAGTAAGTGAAATAACTGATTTACCAGGCAACAAAAAGGAATATACATACAACTATGCTCAAGGTAACTACTGGCATCTTTATCATTTAATTTTTCAGTTTAACTAGTCCTCATTATTCTTATATAAAGATATTGAAAATGCTTTTAATGTTTTTTATCGTTAAATGTACACCTTTTTAAATTGTTCTATTCCTAAAGCCTAAAAAAGGGCCAGCAACTCTACTTCCAGGTTTCCAAACTGGTTCTCTCAAGATTTGATCCATAAAATTAAAAAGAAAAATAGTCTGCATCGTTTGTGTTTAAATAAAGCCTCAGAAAGCCCAAAGAGTGTTGAATTTCAGCTTTTAAGAACTGATATTAAAAACCAAACCAAATATGAGTATAACTTATACAAAAGTTCACTTGAAAACCACCTACTTGCTGACCCAAACAAATTCTAGACTTTCTTTAAGTCAAAATATAAGAATAGTGGAATTCCCATAGAAATGGCTTTAAATAACTCCAAATTTAATAAACCTTTTGATATTGCAAGTGCCTTTGCTAAATATTTTGCATCAGTGTATGATACATCTAACTGCACACATTGTCATTCTCAAAGTACTGAGTGGAGTTCTTTTGAGTACCTTTAAATATATCACAGAATTAGATGATGTAAATAGTATTAAAAAACTTTAACCCAAAAAAACTACAGGCCCTGATGAAATACCATTCTATATCTATAAAGGAATGGCCGAACCCTTGGCTAAACCTCTGGCGTTTTTGTTTAATATGTCGATTGAACAGGAATATTTTCCAGATATTTTAAAAGTGGCAACAATTTCTTCAATACATAAAAAAGATTAAAAAAAATGATATTTAAAACTACAGGCCTATCAGCCTGTTAAGAGCGTAGGCGCAATATTTCGGGCCAATGCTTTTTAAATGCATTCACTTTTTTCGAATCCTGAGAAAACTAATAAATCTTTTTGAAAAATTTAAACGCAGAATGAAAGAATACATTATTACTGAGGGCCGAAAGTCCCTGAAAACTTCTATAATGTTTATTTTAATAAGTTACAAGGATGAAAAAAAAAAGAGAAAATTTAGTGTGATTTTTAATTTCAAATAACTCATTCAAAAAAACTTTTTGTTTATTCTAAGAGACTTCGGACCTCGGTAATAATGTAATCTTTCATTCTGCGTTTAAATTTTTCAAAAATATTTTTTGTTTCTGAGGATTCGAAAAAAATGCATTTAAAAAGTATTTGCCCGAAATTTTGTGCCTACGCTCTTAAATAGTATTGCTAAGATTTTTAAAAGTATTGTTTATGATGATATATTTCAGCATGTTAAGAGTAAAATCAGCAAATTCTAGAATGGTTTTGTAAGAGACAAATCAACGGTAATTAATGTCTGTGTTCTCTCTGAACATATTGCTAAGGCTATTGAGGCAGGGAACAGTTGCATATTCTGTATACTGATTGTGAAAAAGCATTTGATAAGTAAAATCACTGTATTATTTTAAATAAACTGGTACAGTTTGATTTCTCAAGAAAAGCTTTTAATTTATTAAAATCTTATTTGTCAGATAGAAACAGTAAAACAGAATACAGTAAAAGTAGATAATTGCTTTTCTCGCCAATATGTGTCATCCTCAGGAGTCCCAAAGGGGAGCAAACTAGGACCATTGCTCTTTATTTTATTTATTAATGAGTTCCAGCCTGTATTAAATCTTGTAACAGCTTAATGTATGCCGATGATTTTAAACTTTTTAAAACAATCTCTAATAAGAATTTATTAACAGTTATTCAATGATTGATGGATTTGACCGTTACTTGATGGAAATTCATTTTATGTAACAATAAAACACTGAAAACTTTGTTTTCAAACTTCCACAAAATTTATTTTAAATCTTATCACTACAGCAGTTTCGGCTGATTGCCTTTCTCAAGTGATCTCATTACACTGTGGTTTAATTGAGTTTGTTTACTTTAGAGAACCCAAGAGTAGGTTAAGGATAACTAACCTAGATCTATTCTTTACAAATTACTATAGAGAGATATCACCAATAAGCAATATGTTAAAAATTTGTAATGAAGTACCTATTTAATAGACTGACTCATGTGTATATATTTAATGTAAAAAGCTGTGAACTTACGACATTGCTTGCCCATCAGTACTAGGTTTACAGGGTTTATTGTATTTTTTTCTTATTGTATTATTAATGTTTGTTTCTTTCATTCATTTATTGTATTGTTTTTTGCTTAAACACTGTACATGTAATTACTATTAGTCTATAGTGTTTGTAAGGTGTCTAAATAAATAAAGAAGAATTTTAGCTAGGACGGTTATACCAGGAGAATATGACAAAATAAAAGGTAAGTTACAATCACTTCTTAGAAACTCTGAAGCTAACCCCCTCTGTGGCTCAGTGGTAAGAGCGCCTGCCTTTAAACCTAAAGGTCGTGAGTTCGAATCCCACCTGGGTGGAAATTTTCGTTTATTAAAAAAAATTAGTAAACGAAAATAATTTCTATCCTTGTGTGATCGGTACACACCGGAGGGACCGCAGACGTTCGGATACAATTAGCGTCTCTTAGCAAAGACAATGACGTCGACTTTGCTAAGTATCAAGACAATTACTCTACACACATAAACACACACATACACAACCACTACATTAATAAACTTATCTTGATTGAGACTGGCTGAATGACAATTGTCCAAGCCAAAACATTAAAAAAAAAAAAAAAAAAAAAAAAAAAACTCTGAAGCTTATTTTGCCATTGATTTATTGACAGAACAATAGAGACAACATAGTTTTTTACTATCTTCAGAAATTTACTATTGACAATATTAAAAGACATAATTAAGTATGGAGACAAAGCTGAAGATAAACTTTCAAAAGGATAACTTTTACACACAATGGTTCAAATATAGTTCTAGCATATCAACCTTAAACAAGACTGCCATGTCTTGTATGTGTGCATGGCTCAATTATACTCAACACTCTCAATTATACAGAAAACTCTCTAAATCTTTAAAACAGCATATAACCCCTATACTACGTTCCACATTTAGAAAATAACATTGCGGAGATAGGGCCATGTATTTCTTATGGACGATAGAAACGCGGCGTTGCCACGACACACACAAGCAATTATTTTTAAGCAATAGTTTTTTAACGTAATTGACCAAAAGTTCCCATTCGAAACAAGAGATGAAAGTAGGGAAAATGATTTTAATTAGATAAATAGTATTTACAAAAGATAATTTTATTTTATCTTATTTTAATTATAGTAACAACAGTTTATTTGTTTTTTGGTGAGAATACGATATGCTATGAATCATAGAAATCAGTAGAAAATATTAACTGTTTGGAATGCCTATATCTAATTACTAATTGCAACTTAAAATAATATGATGTGCGTATGTCAGCTATTTCATGTCGTTCTCTGACTACATAATGATAATAAGGCTTTTATTTAGTAGTTATTTTGACTTTACAGTTAAATGTTAATTAAAAATGAAAATCCAAAAATTAAGCAAAGGGAATATCTTGGACATCCGTGCAAAAGAGAGTGTCTGAGAGTTTTGGCAACACTGATCTCCATAAGCGTAATGTTATTTCTTAACTTGAAATAAAGAATAGTTGGAATTCAACATATTATACAATATTAATTAGTATTCAAAATTTATATGCAAAAATTCAGAATTTACTTATTAAATGGAACTAAATCAGCAGACTAGGTGGCTAATTCTAAGGATTAAGATTTTGTTAAGGAATTAAAAATACCTACATACAAAAATTGTATTGAAAAAACGATTTTAATACCAGCGCTTATCTTTTGCTGCTCTATTTTTGGATCAAAATTTTAAGACACTGAAATTTCTTAGTGCAGTTTCAATTTAAAATTGTTGTTATAAATATTCATTGTTGCTTCACAACATTGAAAGCATCCATGCCAATTACTAGCTACTACTACTAGTTTAACCACTCTAAAGGTTCAGTTAAAAAGAAAACAAAATATGTTTTATTAGTAACAACAGTTACTATAAATAAAATAATATTGTTATTCAAATAATCATAAAATTATGTATTTCATTTGTCATTTAAGAATCAAAAACATGAAAATGGTAATTTGGGGAAATTGTACCAAACTGTAGAGTTATGAAAGTAAAATTTTATTGTGGATTATGTGTGACAAATTGAATAGAAATAATGGAATATAGTTACTTAATTTTGATACATACAAAGTAAAGCTAATTTTTTTGATGATAAAGAAAATTTCACTTCCTGATTGAAGCAAACACTTGTATCTATTTCAATTATAATTATGGTTTATAAAGGTTAAATCTAAAACTTACCGATATTCTTCAAAGGTAAATTTATCCCTCATAAGTACACAAACTGGATCACTTGAGGCATGAAATAATTTATAAAAGTAAGCATACTGTCTAGCAATACTCTTCATTTGGTGCAGTGCGAGATCCAATGTAGGACTCCCTTTTAGTTCTTCCAATTCTTCAACAGTAAAATATAATACTGTTGTGTATGTTGAAGGTAGAATGTCTAAATAAGGTTTCCAAAATGATTCAGATTTAAATTTTTCATACAGTAAAAAAATCGCCAATGCTACATTTGTCATACTACTAAGCAGAGGATCTTTTTCTAGTAAAGTTTTAAGTTCTGATTTCCTAGCTATTTCTACAGTTAAGATTAATTTTCTAGGTACTGAAATTACTAAAGATGACACGGGAATTTCTGTATTGGCTATCAATCCTAAATCAAATCCTTCAATTGACTCAATATTACACCCATTAAATTCTGCCCCATTACTCTTACACCACTTCGAGAACTTATCAATAATGGCATCACTAGATCTATTACTAGATATAACTGAATCATTATTTGACTGGATTTTCTTCAGTTTATCAAGTACCGTACTTATTTCTTTCTGATGTTCCAATGATTTGGAAACATCCTTTTGCTGTATTATTGTACTTATCCTCAGCAGTTTATCTATAAGTTCACTTATTCCTTTTTGATTTTTACTTGCACTAAAATGTTTTGGCCTATAATTTGCTCCTTTTCGACCCATACTCTGTGTTTTCAGTAAATGATTTCAAAAAGTAGACCACCATAGAAAAATTTCCAAATTTTCACAAATTTGCACGTGTAAGTAGGGTTATGGTTGGATCAAGTTACATTATTTTTTATTTATAAACAGAAATTGAGATAGTGACACCTATGGTGACACCTGAGGAGTGCGCAGAGTTTGAATGTTCAGTCACAAATAAAATCTTTCTGTAATCTAAATGTGACATTAGTTTTACTTTTGGCGGTAAGGTGTCGCTTAAATGTTCAAAAACAATCCACCAATGATTCCGAGATTCCGATCACTGGTTTTCTGCTAAAGTCAGTAAGTCACTAAAAATTGTGAATGTTAAGAAGGCCTTCCTTTTTAGTAAATAACGACCCACCTATTTGTTAGCTATGGAATTTAAAGTTGAAATTAAGGAAAATTTTGTTAAATATGATGTAGTGAGTCCTCCCTTATCTACATCAACAGATCCTGGGGTTATGAAGAATGAACTAGATGAAGATAACTCGGGTAAGACAAATAATCAAAATTATTACACTAAACAATGTGACCTAACAATATATAAATAATGACCAATATATTTTTTTAAAAGTTATGGAAATAAAAACTGAAATTAATGAGTCCTTTGAGGGTGACCAACAATATAATATAGAAAGCCAGCTATCCACCTCTCTAAATCTGGATATAAAGTTGAAGAATGAACTAGAAGACTCAGGTAAGGAAAATATTAAAAATGTGTAGGTAGAATTGGTAGAACTTACAATGAAGTAAACAACTTTTTTTATTAGCTGTGGAATTAACTAAAATTAAGAAAGAATCTCTTGAGGGTGACCAACAGTATATAGAGAGTCAGCCATCCACCTCTCTAGATCTGGAAAACTTGAAGAATGAACCAGAGGAAGACTCAGGTGAGGAAATATTAAAAATGTGCAGGTAGAACTTACAATGAAGTACACAACTTCTAATGTATAATGTAAATTTATATATATATAAAGTTTTGTTAAAAGTTAAATGATTTAAAAATTTAAGAACATTTTTGGTCTTATCAGACCTCATCAGTAATATCCTAAAAGCAAGTATTTCCATGTTAATATAATTAATACAAAGAGGTAAAATTGTTAAACTGAAAAAAGTTTGATAAATACTTATATCATTATTAATGGAAACTAGCCACATAGTAGGGTCTAATAACCCTCAGGTTACATATTCATCATCTTTGGCTCTACAACCCTGGGTGGGTCTTGGTCTGTTCAAGAATTAGTCTCCATTCCTCCCTCTCTTTCGCCCTGGCTTTCCAATTTCTGACCTCTAGATTCCTCAAGTCATCTTCAACTTGAGTTTTAAATCTAGATCTTGGCCTGCCTCTCTTTAGGTTACTTATTGCATTTGTTAAATTTGAATATTGATGTGACACAAGGTCAATGTTAACACAACATACTGATCCCTACTCAAAACAAGAACATATGTGTCCTGAGGAAGATACCAGCCTTATCTTCCTGAGGAGTAAACCAAAAAGACAGATTCACACCCAAGAAAGTTACTAGAAAAGTCACCAAATACAAATTTTTTTGTTGATTATCTCTGCCTGCTAAAAAGCTGCTAAAACAACTGATTGGTTCAGTGCTTCAAGAAGGAAGAAAATGCATACAGAATTGTGCAACAAAGAAAAACACTGTTGGCAATCTGTATCTTGCAAACTGCTGCTGCTTAATGAGCAGCTTGGTACTTTTCTCTATGCATGTAAGTGTGGATAGTTGAAAACTATTGTCATAATTTTGGCTTTACAACCCTGTGTGGGTCATAGCCTCCCCAAGAATTCTCTTCCAGTCGTCCCTATCCATCGCCTTCCTCCGCCAAGCACATATTTCCATATTTCTCATATCTTGGTCAATGTTATCTAGGAATCTTGTTCTGGGTCTTCTTCTTCTTCTTTGACCAATAGGTCTATCAAGGAGCATTTTTCTAGTTTGGTTGGTTTGCTCCATCCGCATTACATGGCCTACCCACCTCAGACATCCTATCTTAATGTGTTTTACGATATCTGGTTCCTGGTATATTCTGTAGAGTTCAAAGTTGTATCGTCTTCTCCAGACACCATTTTCATTTACCGCTCCATAGATTCACGTTAATATTTTTCTTTAGAAACATCCTAACATGTTTTCATTGCTTTTTGTTAAACTCCAGGTTTCTGAACCATATGTTAGAACTGGGCGTATTATTGCTTTGTAGAGTTTTACTTTTGTATTTCTTGATATAACTGTAGATTTAAAAATGAGATTAAGCGGTATGATTTATCTCTGCGGTAGTGTCATTTTCAGTATTGACGAGCGTTCCCAGGTATAAAAATTCGTTAACTGCTTCGATGACATCGTTTTCTATAACAAGTGGTTGTTTCTATAACAAGTACTTGTGGTTGCGTACCTATTTTCATGTATTTCATTTTATTAATATTTATTATTAAACCCATTTTTGTAGCTGTTTCCTTTAGTGCTACATATGAGATCTGTAGAAATGAGATCTGTAACAGGTTAGCATCTATCTGCTACTCTTTCAGAATAACAGCAAATTATTTGGACGAAAAATGTAAATGAGTTGTATATTTTTCAAATTTTCATTCTGTAATGCGATTTGGAATAGTTTTCTGGGGGGAAATGGTAACGCTGAACAGGTTTTTATATTACAAAAAAGAGCAATCAGAACTCTACTTAACTTGAGATACAGAGATTCATGTAGAGGTAATTTGAAAAAGCTAAACATACTAACAATGGCTGGAACATACATATATGAATGCTTACTTTTCATTTTTAAAAATAGACATAAATTCTTGAAACACATAACAAACCATAATACTAATACACGAAACAATCTCATAATCTATAATATACCAATACATAGACTAACAGCATCTGAGAAAACCACAGAATATGCCTGTATTAAATTCTTTAATAAACTGCCTTACAGCATCAAAATAGAAACTGATGTAAATAAATATAGAAAGTCTGTTCAACAATTGCTCATACACCTTGAACCATACAAAGTGGAAGAATACCTTCAAGCTGACCTGTAGGCAGACTAAGGGCTCCTACCTGAATCTAAATGTCATTGTTATTATCATTATGTTTTAATATCACTTTTATGTTAAGTGTAGGTTGTTACAGCAACCATTATAAATTGTAACTGACACCATTCTCTCTATTGATAATTTATATTTGTATGTAACTTGTGAATCCTGAGAATAAAGCTTTTTTCTATTGTATTCTATTCTACATACGCCTCTAGTGCTGCATTTTCCATTCTCCCAACAATATTGATATTAGCATATACTAGGATTTGCACAGATTTGTTATATATTGAACCAGTAGTTGTGATTTGTGACGTACATATTACTTTTCCAGAGCTAGATTGAATAGTATACAAGAGAGTGGGTCTCCCTGAAGTAGCCTGTTGTTATTAAAAGGTTCAGAGAGTTCCCCCTGGATTCGTACTCTGCATTCAACTTTTTCAAGGGTTAGTTTGGTTAAACTTACCAACTGATTTGGTACTCCTAGGTCCATCATTGCTCTAAACAATTCTCTTCTATATACAGGGTCGTAGGCTGCCTTGTAGTCTATAAATATGTGGTGCGTGTCTACACTGTATTCCAGTGTTTTCTCTAGAATTTATTTCAGAGTTGAAATCAGATGAATTGTTGATTTACCAGCTCTGAAACCAGCCTGGTATTGTCCTATTATTCGCTCTGCATATGGTGCCATACGAAGGCATAGTATATTGGAGAATATTTTATATGCTGCATTTAGGAGCGTAATTCCTCGATAGTTAGAGCATTCAAAGATATCTCCCTTTTTGTGTATGGTGCAAAGTATTACAATATTCCAATCACTGGGAAGGGACTTCTATATCCATATTTCTTTTATAAGCTGCTGTAGCGCTATTATGATATCGTGGCCACCTTCTTTATATAATTTCTCTGGGAGATTATCTATTCCGGGTGATTTGTTTCTAGCTAGTTTGTTTACAGCGTCTTTAACTTCCAGGATCGTTGGTGGATTCTCCTCCCTCTCGCCTGCTCTGCTTACCTCACAGCTTTCGTCTTCCGGGTTTTCTTCTTCTTCCTCTATATTAGTATCTGGTTAACATATTCCGTCCATCGATTTAGTACGTCTGTTCTTGTTGTTATAGATCGCCATTCAAACTTCTACATTGATTTGTGTTTGCCTTGAATTATTTTCTGTTGATGTTTACTTTCTTATAGAATGTTCTGAATTCTTTCTCTCTGTTGAGGTTTTCTATATATTGAAGTTCCTTCTTTAAGTGGTTTCGTTTCTTCATTCTGTGTATTTTCTTTTCTTCTCTTCTCTTTGTCTGGTAATTCTCTACACTTGTTCTAGATCGGCGGGTAAGCAGTGTTGCATAGGCTTCATTTTTTTTCTGTGTTGCGTCTTTGCATTCATCGTCAAACCAGTGATTTTTTCGGGTACCATATGTTTATCTTCCTATTTCATCTTGTGCTGCTGACTCAATATCTTCCTTTATCCTGTTCCAGTAGGATCCTACATCTCTCTGGTCTTCTTCGCTTGGACATTAATTTCTTAACCTATTGGTAATATTTTCCCAGTACTGTTTTGCAACAGTTGCATCTCTCAGCTTGATTGAATTGCAAGGGTGAAAAGCTATTTGGTTATTGATTGTTAATTCAATGAAAAAGAAAGTTTCTTCCGTTTCTTTGTTTTCATAGTAAATTATCAAAATAGGTTCAAACTTTCACAAGGTATGTGCAGCTGTTAGAGAAATATGCACCACGTAAAAAGTTATGAGGAATAAAAGTTATATTGCATCTTCCAATTCTTTGACTATAAAATTGTCATCTAGTCAGTCATTAAATTTTTAAAATAATCGTTTGGTTTGATGTGTCACATGCTAGTATTTGGTATAGATTGCTGGTATAAGCAATCCCCCACCTACTAGCCAACGTCTTCGGGCGGACGAGCTGGATAACAGGTCCTCGTAGACACTTCGTCTCAGGACCATTTTACTTATGTAGAGTCATACGCCGCCATGTTACCTATCCAACGGTAACTTAAACATCACAAATTATAACTATTAATAATGTAAAACAACTACAAATTTAAAACATTTAAAGGGTTTTGACCCATATATTTTGGTGGCTACTAGCATGTACAACCGTTTGCACTGATGATGGATTTATCAATCCGAAAACGTTTTGCAATGTGTTTGTGATAGCCCGTTTGGGGCATTTTTTATATACCTTTTATAAAGGATTTTAAACAATTTTTTGTGATATATGGTATACAGCTAGCTACAGGTACTTATGTTTCCTAGTGGGATTTAATTTTATTTTATTTTGGTAAAGCGTTGACGTTTGTTAAACGTCATTTTATTTTATCTGTCATATTATGTTTATTTTACCAGTGACATATAATAAATATGTATTATATATCATTCATATTACCTTACAATTACAGTAACCTATATTTTTAACAATGTTGGAAAAAATTAATTAATTCAGATTATTTTAAATTATTTTGTATTAAATTCTACCCTAAAAATATTATTAAAATTAATAATTAATTATATTAATATGTAATTAATACAGTATTATTAATTTTTTTTTATATTTTTTGAGTTATGCGTCGACAACTAATGGTCATTGGCATGGTACAGTGAATTTTTACAGTCAGGTACCTAGTGTAGTATGTGTGTGTGTGTAGAGTAATTGTCTTGATACTTAGCCAAGTCGACGTCATTGTCTTTGCTAAGAGACGCTAATTGTATCCGAACGTCTGCGGTCCCTCCGGTGAGTACCGATCGCACAAGGATAGAAATTATTTTCATTTATTAAATTTTTAATAAACAAAAATTTCTCCACCCAGGTGAGATTCGAACTCAC